AGTTTGTTTGGGGTAGAAAAGAATGAAGTATTGTTGTATTTGGTCTGGGGACACTAAAATGTTTGTATAAAGTGTTTGTATTAACTGTATATTTGTTTACTTACTGTGGAAAATGAATAAAAGATTTTGTAAACGAGAAATGGAAGAAGAACAGACTGTTGGGCATGAGATTTTTGAGCAGAAAGGCAGGAGATTGGTGAATGTTAAGGCAGGAGACCAGTGAATTGAAAAGTAGAAAACCGGTGAACAGGGACGGAGAAGATCGAAAAATCAGAGGGCATGAGATCTGTAATGGAGGGAAAGGAGACCAGTGAATGAAAGGAAAGGAGACCAGTGAATGAAAGGAAAGGAGACCAATGAATGGAAGGAGAGGAGACCAGTGAATGGAAGGTGAGGAGACCAGTGAATGGAAGGTGAGGAGACCAGTGAATTGAAGGTGAGGATGCAAGTGAATGGAAGGAAAGGAGACCAGTGAATGGAAAGAAAGGAGACCAGTGAATGGAAGGAAAGGAGACCAGTGAATTGAAGGTGAGGAGACCAGTGAATGAAAGGAAAGGAGACCAGTGAATGGAAATAAAGGAGACCAGTGAATTGAAGGTGAGGAGACTAGTGAATTGAAGGTGAGGAGACTAGTGAATTGAAGGTGAGGAGACTAGTGAATTGAAGGTGAGGAGACCAGTGAATGAAAGTAAAGGAGACCAGTGAATGGAAAGAAAGGAGACCAGTGAATTGAAGGTGAGGAGACCAGTGAATGAAAGGAAAGGAGACCAGTGAGTGGAAGGAGAGGAGACCAGTGAATGAAAGGAAAGGAGACCAGTGAATGAAAGGAAAGGAGACCAGTGAATGGAAATAAAGGAGACCAGTGAATTGAAGGTGAGGAGACTAGTGAATTGAAGGTGAGGAGACTAGTGAATTGAAGGTGAGGAGACTAGTGAATTGAAGGTGAGGAGACCAGTGAATGAAAGTAAAGGAGACCAGTGAATGGAAAGAAAGGAGACCAGTGAATTGAAGGTGAGGAGACCAGTGAATGAAAGGAAAGGAGACCAGTGAGTGGAAGGAGAGGAGACCAGTGAATGGAGGGAAAGAAGGCCAGTGAATGGAAGGTGAGGAGACCAGTGAATGGAAGGTGAGGAGACCAGTGAGCGTAAGGGGAGGTGATCAGTATATATATATAAAAGGCAGGAGATTAGTGAACAGAAGTTGAGAAGATCAGTCGATGGAAGGGGAGGTGATTTCTGAATAGAAAGAGAGAATATCAGTGAACAAGGGGGGAAAAGATCAGAACACAGAAAGGGAGGAGATCGGTGAATGGAGAGAAAGGTTATCACTTCCCACTAATGTAAAAGTGATTAGGTGGCCTTACTAAACAGAGGACCGACAACTGATTTGTTTTATAGGCAGGCATGTGGCTCTTTTTCCATTTGATTGCCATATTATAAAATATTTAATCTTGACCAAGGGTTTCATAAAATGTCATGTACAGCTAATTATGTCTCCACCACTTCCTTGATTAAAGTAGGAAATGTATTTTTTTAGAGATCATGAAACATGACCAAGCCCTCAAGCTGTTAGGGAATTGTCTATGAAAAGCAAGCAGATTGAGTAAAAAGTTCAGGGGCACATCTCTTATGTGAGGACAAAAACTTCAGTGCAGAAGGGTTGGTGGCCATTTTGTTGTAGCCCACAGCAATCGGTGGTCATTTTGTTGTAGCCCACATCAATTGGTGGCCATTTTGTTGTAGCCCACAGCAATTGCTATCAGGAATAATTTTAGTTCAAGGTAGTTCTAGGTGGGCTTATAAGGCTGGAGAGTGTGTGAAGAGGAGGTAACAATGTCTTCTTATTATGAGAGAAGGGGGTCCCAGCAATAGATGTGGATTGGATAAGGGGGTGGGGGAAGGATCATGTGATCACAAGTCACATGTCCTGTATACAGCACAAAGTCAGGGGTCAGCAGGCTCTGCACTGGGGGAGTACGTCTTATCCGGTGTAGTGGGGTCTCAGTAAAGATAAATATTAGCACAGAGGGGATTTATAGCCATAGGACTGCTCATCAGTACACGCGCTGCCCTTTTGGCTTCCCATTAGAAATAGATTAAAAAAGATGTGCATTTCTTTCTTTTATATTTGGGCACGTATTTATTTTTTGTAATTGCCAATTACTATTTCAAGGGACAAAAACAGCTTGATTTATGGTTAGTTAGGATAAATAATACAAGGAAAAACCTCTGAATAAATCATCTGATTTAAAGATGGAGAAGGAACGGAGTCACACGACTGATAGGATATTAAACCTGACCCTGGAGATCGTCTACCTGCTGACCGGAGAGGTGAGGAGGATTCTGGGAGGTCACATGACATCCCTCTTATCTCTATTAATAAAACAGACCTGACCGGAGAGGTGAGGAGGATTCTGGGAGGTCACATGACATCACTCTTATCTCTATTAATATAACACAGACCTGACCGGAGAGGTGAGGAGGATTCTGGGAGGTCACATGGCATCACTCTTATCTCTTAATAAAACATAAACCTGACCGGAGGGGTGAGGAGGATTCTTGGAGGGTCACACGCCTGACCATACAAGTGAAATGAATGCCAACCGTATCAACTTTAATGCATTGGAAAATTTTGAATGCTGTTCTAATCTTGTGCTTTTAATATAGAATTATATCGCTTTCAAGTTATCTGATGGCTTGGTAGCGTCCAATGCGATGAAGACCCAAGGCACCGGTATAGAGCCTCCATCTCACTCACTGAGACGGAAAAAGAAGGTTCAGGAAGTCACCAGCGAGATCATTAAGCTGCTGAGGGGAGAGGTGAGCGGTGCATGGAATTCTGGGACATGATCCAGGAACAGACAAGGGATGTGTCTGGGTGGTGACTGTATCATTGTGTGTGTCAGGTTCCTATTAGATGTCAGGATACAAGTGACTGTTTCTCTTTGGAGGAGTGGGAGTATCTAGAAGGACACGCGGATCTATATAAAAATATGACGATAGGGAACCAGCCGTCCTTTATATCAACAGGTAAGAGGAGACTTTCATATCTTGTAAAGGACAGAAGAACATTCAATGACATTTTTATTTCCCATATTTATGGCAGTTCTAACACAGTGATTTACAGACAACGTAAAACCATTTACACCAATCCCTACCCTGAAGTAGCTTACAGGCGCTAGTGTTACTACCATCCTAATATGCCAATTGTGGCAATGTGGGTGCCAATCACCTAGTGGCTTGTTTTTGGGTTGCAGAAGGAAACCAGACCGCCTGGAGAAAATGTGCCCAAACATTGGGAGAACATGCAAACTTCATGCAGGAAGTGTCCATGGCAGGACTACGGACCTCAGGCCTGCAAGGTAAGAGTGGTCAACACTTAGCTAACATGTTATCCTGTGATATAAAGACATAGAAACAATGTATTCAGTCAGTGTGTGTGTTTCCTACAGATGGATCCAGGAACAGAAATACCTCAGAGAGATGTCCCCGTCCTCTGTATTCCTGGGATTCCACTCAGGAACATCACAAGATCCCTCACCCTTATCAGGTAGAGGAGTCCAAAATGGACTGGCATGAACCTCTTCGGTTTGCATTTCCTGGATGGAGTTCAGGGGTGCACATTATGCTCACAACAAAACCTAATCATAAAATATCTTCACCAGTCTAGTAAAGCTTGGTTTCATTCTGTATTTCCTGTAAAGATTTTATTCATCTCCCTGGATTCCTCCAATGGTAAAAGGACAACAATTTTAAGGAATGCTTTTCATTCTTTTGTAGGTTTCGCTGGATGCACGCCAGATTGACTTTAGAGCAGAAGCTAGGGAGGAAGCAGAAGGGATGTATGTGAGAGGTCATGAACCATGTAATGAGGTGGACCTTCTTCCGGAGATCAGCACAGGTGAGTAATAAACACTAAATCCAGAAAAGAGTCCCAGATTCTCCTTGTTCAGTCACTACAACAATCTCTTCTTCTCCCCCTCCTCTGTCAGTAGACAGTAATGGGGGGACGGAATGTGTCTAGTGGGGGGAGTCAGGAGCCATCAGCCTCTATTAGACTCCGGCTCTCCTCCCCACATCATGTCATTGTGTGTTACCAGCCAAGAGACGTGACCAGTCTCCCCCCACACACACTCTCTGGGGTCTCTCATACATCTCAGTACAGGGGGCATCAATCTCTTCTTCTCCCCCCTCCTCTGTCAGTAGACAGTAATGGGGGGACGGAATGTGTCTAGTGGGGGGAGTCAGGAGCCATCAGCCTCTATTAGACTCCGGCTCTCCTCCTCACATCATGTCATTGTGTGTTACCAGCCAAGAGACATGACCAGTCTCACCCCCCACACACATTCTCTGGGGTCTCTCATACAACTCAGGGGGCTTCACTCTCATCTTTATTTACAGCCCCCGGAGACACCAGAGAAATTCATATAGATGTCAGTGCAGAGGAGGAGGAGGAAGTAATATGTGTGAAGATTGAAGACGATGAACAACCTATAGATATTAACACAGGTGAGTCATATTTCCAAAGTTTACTAATGCATCCTTCTTTCTTGTGTCTTCATCATGAGTTCCCATCTCCTCAACTTCCAGTTTCTTATTGTTGTAAAACACGATTTGTGCCTGAGCGGATGGTGTTCAGTTAGCTAAGATCTGCAAACCCATGGTAGGCCATGGCCTCAAGAGTGCAGCTGGAGGCACCTTCATATCCTACATGGAGAGTCCCTTTGCACATAGTAGTTTTTCCTATGGAATGCAATCCTGCTCTGGTATGGAATTGCTACACAGAAAGTCAGGCACAAGTAGGAAATAATTGCCTCACCATGATTCTGCTCTTTAATATGTTATTATCTAAAGGTTCCTCAACCTTTTGAGACCATTAAAACTCCCTTGATATGAACTAGCTTGTTAAGTATGTTTAACAGCACTTCAGTTCTTCCACTCCTCATCCTGTTTCCTGCAGATGGTCGACGCAGTGGTTATAACCCAAAGAAACACCATGTTATGTTTCCTGAAGTTGCAATAGATGATAACATCACAACAGAGGCTCTGGTGAAAAACCCTGTTACCCCAAATCTCCATCCAGTACTTCTCAGCGCAGATCTATTATCTCGTCCCCCTACCCACGGGGGGAGTTTATCCAATCGCTCAACTCCCACAACCCATCGTCCAAATCACAGAACGGGTGCAGCGTTCCTGTGTTCCATATGCGGCAAATCTTTCTCTTGGAAAGGGAGCCTCGTTGATCACCAGAAAACTCACACTGGGGAGAAGCCATATTCGTGTTCGGAATGCGGGAAAAGTTTTTCCAAGAAAACTAAGCTCACGTTACATCAGAGAATCCACACGGGAGAGAGGCCGTTTTCATGCTCGGAATGTGGTAAAAGTTTTACAAGGAGGGACCATCTTAGCATACACCAGAGGACCCACACGGGGGTGAAGCCCTACTCCTGTTCGGAATGCGGGAAGTGCTTTAGCCAGAGAGCCTTTCTCATCGTACACCAGAGAGCTCACACCGGGGTGAAGCCGTATTCGTGTACAGAATGTGGGAAGTGTTTTACTGGGAAAGCCCATCTGATTGTACACCAGAGAACTCATACTGGGGAGAAGCCACATACATGCCCAGAATGTGGGAAGTGCTTTACTGAAAGATCTCAACTTCTCCGACATCGGACTTGTCACTCCAGTAATTGTCCATATCCATGTCCTGTGTGCGGGAGAACTTTTAGCAGCAAATCGGGCTTGGGGAGACATCAAACCCTGCACACAGGCAGCAACCCGCACATGATATCAGAATGAGTAAAAAGGTTCTAGAGATAACCTTCCTTTTTGTCACATCCCCACAGGGGACTAGATACTCCTGTGTCAAGAAACGGCAGATAAGCAAACTTACGCACACACAGATGTCTTTCCTACTTCCGTCTTAAATTTTTATAATTCTTTAAACAGAAATCAATCGTAGTGCTCCTTTGTTGACCATATGTGGACATAATCAGTAGCATTATGGCTATTAGGGATGAGCTCAGGTATAGACCAAAGCACTTATGCATACATAAGTGCTATAGACCACCTGCCATGTCAGCCACAGGCCAGGCCACTCCCCCGCCATTGCACATAAACAAAGGGATGTGCCTAATGTCATTGACCTAATATGGCCACTTGACCATATTAGCTCAATGTTATTGACCAAATATAACCATGTGGCTATATAAGGTCAATAACATTACTGCATCTTTCCCCTTTGCTTACGTGTAGCAGCAGGTGGGAAATTTTCCCGCCACAGCAGAAGGAGCTTCATTCTGTGTTCATAGGAGCTGTTTGGAATAGCTCAGGTTCAGACAGGGTTTTGGGAGCTCCTTCTGTGTTTGGAGGAGCTTAGGTTCAGGCAAGATTCATACCAGGAACTCAGGTTCAGGAGGTGCTCAGGGGCAGACCAGATTCCGGGAGCTCCTTCTATGTTTGGCAGAGCTCAGGTTCTATGTTTGGAGCTCCTTCTATGTTTGTAGGAGCTCAGGTCCAGACAAGGTTCATACCAGGAGGAACTCCTGTTCAGACCAGGAGGAGCCCATGTTCAGGAGATGCTCAGGGGAAAACCAGATTCTGGGAGCTCCTTCTATGTTTGTAGAAGCTCAGGTCCAGACAAGGTTCATACCTGGAGGAACTCCTGTTCAGACCAGGAGGAGCCCATGTTCAGGAGGTGCTCAGGGGCAGACCAGATTCTCGGAGCTCCTTTTATGTTCGGATGCTCAGGTTCAGACAAAGCTTCATACCAGGAGGAGCTCAGGTTCAGACCAGGAGGAGATCAGGTTCAGGAGAAGCTCAGGGGCAGACAAGGTTCTGGGAGCTCCGTCTATGTTTGGAGCAGCTCAGGTTTAGACCAGGAGGAGATCAGGTTCAGGAAATGCTATGGGGCAGACCAGGTTCCAGGAGCTCCTTCTATGTTTGGAGGAGCTCAGCTTCAGACAAGGTTCAGACCAGGCGGAGCTCAGAGGCAGACCAGGTTTCTGGGAGCTCCTATATTTGGAGGAGCTCAGGTTCAGACAAGGTTTAGACCAGGAGCTGAGGTTCAGACCAGGAGCAGCTCAGGGGCAGACCAGGTTCCAGGAGCTCCTTCTATGTTTGGAGGAGCTCAGCTTCAGACAAGGTTCAGACCAGGCGGAGCTCAGAGGCAGACCAGGTTTCTGGGAGCTCCTATATTTGGAGGAGCTCAGGTTCAGACAAGGTTCAGACCAGGCGGAGCTCAGAGGCAGACCAGGTTTCTGGGAGCTCCTATATTTGGAGGAGCTCAGGTTCAGACAAGGTTCAGACCAGGAGGAGATCAGGTTCAGGAGGAGCTCAGGGGCAGACCAGATTCCAGGAGCTCCTTCTATGTTTGGAGGCGCTCAGGTTCAGACAAGGTTCAGACCAGGAGGAGCTCAGGGGCAGACCAGGTTCCGGGAGCTCCTTCTATGTTTGGAGAAGCTCAGGTTCAGACCAGGAGGAGCACATAGTTCTTTAGGTAAATTCTGTGAAAAAGAAACCGACAGAACATGTAGTGACAGTGGAATAAAAATACTCTATTTAGGGGCCATCAATGTTATCCCCTGATTGTCTTTGTTCGCTTTAGACAAGTGTAGCTGCCCAGAGATGACAGAGCATGGTCAGGCTGGTGTGATCCATCCAACCTCAAAAACCCACACCCCTTATCTGAGCATTCCTGTTCATAACATGGTTTTAGATAGAAACAGACTGGGTACAATTGTAAATAAGCCAAGGGATTGTAAAAAGTATCAGTATTACACATTGAACATATGCAATATCTCTATCCACACGGAATCATATTAAGAAAATATGCCTGGGGCCCAATGAATTTGACTGTGGCCCCCATACCTGGATGGGTTTTGTCTAGGAGTGATTAACAACAAATAAACATCAGTTTGCATTATCTTGACTATGATGGTTATGTTGTAGTTTTTAGTGAATTGAAGGTTCCACAATTGCTCAGCTGCCTCTGGCTTCACCTTTAGAGTTGGTGACCTGCGATACATGTCCGTCTTCACTGGCTGCATACTTGCCTTGGGTCCATTACCCATATAGGCCTAAAATCACCATGATGACTAGCACTATGACAAGATGGCCAGCATGGCTGGTGTCCATATATCTCATAGTACATGTTTCCTTTAAAGGGTCCAGTGTTGTGATTGGTGGATGCTGTAGAAAACCCCCTCACAATCGCTTCCATGACTCAGGGGCTCCATTGGCAAGAATTCGGCACATGAGTTTCCGGGTCAGCACATCTACTGTGCCCATTATGAGAGGTTCCTCATTTATATTATGGATATAACTGGAGAAGCTGGAACACACAATGGTGGGTGGGAAAACCTCAAAACTCCTAGGTGATCAGGAACAGAATTGGAAATTACGGCAAGCAGGTCTTAGCATTGAAGCATCCTAGACATATCAGAAGGTAGGAGCTGACTGTGCCAACCAGGTTCCACCAGTAACCTAAATATCACTTATATCTGGACCAACCCTTTAACAAATATGGAAGAAAGGTTACAAAAACTCCATGTACATCTTATCCCGGCTCTAAACTGTCTCCAGAATCCCCAGAAATTCCAAACAATTGTATTAACTGCATAGCTCCAAAGGGTAGCTGATCCACCATGACAATATATATTGGCATCAGCAAACGGGATGATCTTATGTTGTCATGGAAACCCCAAAGATATCATCTTTCCTGTAATAATCCCTATGGGTTGGGGTTAAGCCAGCATCTGTAAATTCAATGGCTAAATTATCTGGAGATCCAGAGCTACTCTATCTGTTTCTCAATCCTACAATAGAATTCTGACCTTACAGAGTAGAAAATGTGTGCAGAATTGTTTTTAATGCAACTCTGGAAGCTTGTTCCTTCTGCTGACCTGTCAGGAGGAGGAAGAATGCCCTAGCAGTCAGTGGGTGGAAGAATGTCCTGGTGATCAGCAGGAGGAAGGAAGAATGTCCTGGTGATCAGCAGGAGGAAGGAAGAATGGCCTGGTGGCCGGTAGGAGGAAGAATGTGCTGGTGGTTGGTGGGAGGAAGAATGTGCTGGTGGTCAGTGGGAGGAAGAATGCGCTGGTGGTTGGTGGGAGGAAGAATGGCCTGGTGGCCGGTAGGAGAAAGAATGTGCTGGTGGTTGGTGGGAGGAAGAATGTGCTGGTGGTCGTTGGGAGGAAGAATGTGCTGGTGGTCGGTGGGAGGAAGAATGTGCTGGTGGTTGGTGGGAGGAAGAATGTGCTGGTGGGAGGAACAATGTCCTGGTGATTATTGGGAGGAAGAATGTCCTGGTGGTCAGTGGGAGGAAGACTGCCCCGGCGGTTGGTGTGAGAAGGAATGCCCCAGTGTCAGCAGGAAGAAGTTAGGGTTAGTGGAAGGAAGAATGCCCTGGTGATCAGCGGGAAGAATGCCCTGGTGGTTGTTGGGGAGAAGACCACCCTGGTGGCTGGTGTGAGGAAGAATGCCCCAGTGTTAGCAATCAGTGGAAGGATTCCCCATGGGTCAGCGGGAGGAAGAATGCCCCAATGTCAGCATTCAATTAAAGAATTCCCAGTGGGTTAGTGGAAGAAAGATACCCTGGTGGAAAGTGGAAGAACACCGTGGTGGATAGTGGGAGGAAGAATGCCCTGGGGGTCTGTAAGAGAAAGAATGCTCCACTAATCAGCACGAGCAAGAATCCCCTGGTGATCAGCATGAGGACTAAATGTTCTGGTGATCAGGGGGAGGAAGATTGCCTTGGTGGTTGGTGGGAAGAAGAATGTCCTGGTGATCAGCGGGAGGAAGATTGCCTTGGTGGTTGGTGGGAGGAAGAATGTTCTTGTGATCAGCGGGAGGAAGATTGCCTTGGTGGTTATTGGGAAGAAGAATGTCCTGGTGATCAGTGGGAGGAAGAATGTCTAGGTGTTCAGATTGCCCTGGTGATCAGCGGGAGGAAGATTGCCTTGGTGGTTATTGGGAAGAAGAATGTCCTAGTGATCAGCGGGAGGAAGAATGTCTACAGGTGAAACTCGAATAATTAGAATATCGTGCAAAAGTAATTGCAGTAAGTGCTGGAAAAGGGGCCCAAACCAAGTACTGAGTACATATGCATGCTTGTACTTTTCAGAGGTCCGATATTGTTCTATGTACAATCCTTGTTTTATTGATTGCATGTAATATTCTCATTTTTTGAGGTTGTGGATTTGGGGTTCTTGGGGTTTTCATGAGCTGTCAGCCAAAATCATCACAATGATGACAAATCACGGCTTGAATTATCTTGCTTTGCATGTAATGAGTCTATCTCATATATTAGTTTCACCTTTTAAGTTGCATTAGTGAAATAAATGAACTTTGCACGATATTCTAATTATTCGAGTTTCACCTGTAGGTGTTCAGGGGGGTTTAGATTGCCCTGGTGTTTGGTGGGAGGAAGTCCTACGTGTCGGTTGGTATGAGAAAGAATGTTCCAGTGTCAGCAATCAGTGGAACAATTCCCCATGGGTCCGTGGGAGGGAAAATGCCCAGGTGATCAGTTGGAGTAAGAATGCCCTAAAGGTTGGTGGGAGGAAGACCACCCTGGCGAATGGTGTGTAGAAGAATTCCCCAGCAGTGCGTGGGAGGAAGAATGCTCTGGTAGTTGGAAGAGTTATATGGCAGTCAGTGGGAGGAAGATCCCTAGTGTCAGCAGAAAGAGGGAGGAAGTATTCCCAGAAGGAAGAATGCCCCAGTCACTGTATAGCTTACTTTAGTAGTTATGCAGGTGAGCACACAGGGATGGAAGAAGCCTTCCTGCAATCCCCACCTTCTTCCCCACTCATCTTACTCCCTACTGGGGATCAGCCGTAGTCAGGTGCTGGACTCGGACACTAGACTAGAGGGACACAGCCCGAATCCGGCGGACACTATCATTTTGGTAAAATCTCGGGAGAGTCCCCTGG